CGGGAAAGCAAGAGATCTCTGTTAGCTGAGACCAGGAAAACTGGAGAGCAAGAGTAGAACACTGTTGACTAGGTCCTCACTATTGATCACCTCTTGCTGACTGCCAAGTTCATTTCTTAAAATAGTAATTCCCAAGTATTTCCACTTTCATCGAGCATTAACCCTTCCTTCAATCCCTTATTCCCATCCAATGGGTTTTATTCCTACATAAGGATTAAGATGCTCCAGTGAAATTTTCCTCATCTTAATCTTCTCCATCTCAATATCTCCTTTCTTCTCAGGTTTCTGAAAAAGATATATTTCTCCTCCTTATCCTCTTCATTTAAGATTGTTCTTTACTAGCTCCTATTTATCTACTTAAAAATGTATTTTGGTGAACTTTTAGCCTAAAAAAAGTTTAGTGAGACTACTACTTAAACTACTTTCATATGAAAAGGAGGGTAGAGTTGCCTATATTTACAGCTTCCATTATACATTTATTTCATAAAACACTGTAATCTGCCTTTTCTCCTCACTACTCAAGTGAAATAACATTCTTTTTATTATTAAATTTTTTTTTAATGTTTATTTTTAAGAGACAGAGAAAGACAAAGCATGAGTGGGGGAGAGGTAGAGAGAGAGGGAAACACAGAATCCGAAGCAGGCTCCAGGCTCTGAGCTGTGAGCACAGAACCTGACACAGGGCTTGAACTCACAAGCTGTGAGATCATGACCTGAGCCAAAGTTGGATGCTTAACCTACTGAGCCACCCAGGTGCTCCATTATTATTATTATCTTAGAGAGAGTGTGTGCAAAACGGGGAGAGATGCTTAGGGGGAGACAGAGAATCTTAAGCAGGATCCACAGTCAGTGCAGAGCCCAACGCAGGGCTCAGTCCTATGACCTTGGGATCATGACTTGAGCCAAAATCAAGAGTCACATGCTCAACCAACTGAGCCACACAGGTGCTCCTGAAATAACATCCTCAAAATGACTTTTCCTTTATGATTTAAATTTTGTACAAGAAGTGTGAGATAATATTATCCCCAAAACTAATTTATTTTTTAAATGTTATTTATTTTTGAGAGGGGGAGGGGGAGAGAGGGGCAGAATCTCAAGCCTCTCCAATGTGAGGTTTGAATGCACCAACTATGAGATCATGACCTAAGCTGAAATCAAGAGTCAGATGCTCAGCCGACTGAGCCACCCAGCAGCGCCCCCCTCAAAAAAATGACTTAAAAGAAACTTGTCACCCATATCCTTTATCTGCTCTAATTCTAAACACACAGAACTTCTAGATTTTTTTTTTACTTCATTAGTGAATGCTATAGAAAGAAATGAAAATCTTTAAGTACCATAGAGAGAAATCCATAACAGTATGGAATCTCTGTAGCTCATAGTGATAATTGACTAGAATAAAAAACAGCATCCCAGACCACATAATTTGTTGAGGTGATTCCAAGATGATTCCAATTATTCATACTGCTTTTATTATGCAGAAACTAAAAAAAAAAAAAAAGGCCAATAAACTAATATAAGTGGGCCCAGCCACAGGAAAATATCTCCACAACCTAGGAGACGTACAGGACCCTGAAGTATATAATTTGTGCTAAGGATGAGTTTACAAACCAAAATTACAATGCAGTTAAGGAAATCTGATCTCATGAGAGAAGCATGGATAGCATCATGAGAGATATATATGGGAGAAATAACAGTGAGGTATTCTAGATAACATATAAATGATCTTTAGTTTAGAATGAAGATGTTCAAAATATTTTAAGAGAGATTTTAAAAAAATTTCAATGGTTGATTTTTATTTATTTGAGAGAGCGAGCAGGAGAAGGGCAAAGAGAGAGGGAGACAGAATCCTAAGCACGCTCCACATCATCAGCACAGAGCCCTATGTGGGTCTCAAACCCACAAACCATGAGATCATGACCTGAGCTGAAATCAAGAATGGGACACTTAACAGACTGAGCCATACAGGGGCTCAAAAGAGATTTTTAAAATACCAATGAACTCCATAAGGTAAGGGTAGGATGTTATGAGAGAAAAAGGACAGATGCATTTGAATAAAAAAGAGAAACATGGTCATTGAAATAGGACACTTCACAGCATATTGGATAAATAATAAACATTTAAGACCATGAATTGGGTGAACTAGATTACATGGGATACAGACTGAGAGGCTAAATGAGTAGAAGAAAACCCAATGGAAAACGGTGTTAAGACAACAGAGGACAATGTTTTAAGAAAGTGGCAGAAAGATCAAGTTTGACTGAAAAGTGTCATTTGGATTTGGTGATTTGGCCAATGGTTACCTTTGCAAGAGCAGTTTCCTTGGAGTGATACTGGGGGAGTCAAAATTATAGCGTGTTGAGGCATGGATGGGAGGTGAGGAATTGGAGATAAGTATTGGCACACCTTTAGGAACCTTGACTGAAATAAGAAGGCAAGAGCTACAGGTGATAGTTGCAGCCATTATTCTCTTTTGAAATGAATAAGATTTAAGCATATTAATATGCAGGTGATTGACAGAGACTTTAACTTGATAGAACTAATTTCCCAAAGAGAAAGGAGGAGCGGATGGAGCTAAAACACAACTAAAGGGATTTGCTATTGATGTCCTCTAAGGAGCAGTAAAGTACCATAATAACGCTTACTTCATGCCAGGTATTGTTACAAGCATTTTAGACATATTAACTGAACTAGATGGAGATGATGAACTTGAGAATGAAAAATGAATGTTTATCTGAAAATGAAAATAATCTTTATGAATATGAAGATGAAATGTGTACTAATAATCTCTAAGAGAAGGAAGAAGTGATGGTGAAGGGAGCTTAAAAAGTGATGGTTTGATGAATAGGAGAGGAAGTTGAGCAGAAACATGAAAGTATTTTTGAATAGTATTTCAAATGATTGTGTCATTTTTCTCCTGTAGTGCTCAGGTATACTAGTGTCAGAACTCAGAGACGGACCATAATGACCCATGGTTAGAAGTCTGTGAGCAGTCTAGGGTGGCGAGACAGAGTTCAGGACGTTGACAGCACTGGCAGAGGTGGTTAATTGAGGCTCACTGGGGTTACGTGAGATATGAAAGGAAGTGAACCCAGGAGGGGGATGATGATGGATAGGAAAAAAGAAAGTAAAAAAGTTGAAACAGAATGATTACAAACATAAAAAGTCCATTGACTCTCTGTCCGACTCCTTTCTGAGGCAGCAGGTTGCCACCACTCATGAAGGCCACCAGAAGAGTAAGCTCTGTCATCTTCCCATGTAGCAGTATAGTCCACTTACCAGCATCACCTAGGAGCTTCTTAGAAACGCAGAATATTGAGGCATCTGGAAGGCTCAGTTGGTTAAGTGTTTGACTTCAGCTCAGGTCATCATCTCAGAGAGTTTGAGTCCCGCATCAGGCTCTGAGCTTTTTTAGCTCAGGGTCCTCTGTCTCCCTGTCTCTGGCCCTCCCTCACTCACTCCAGATTTCAAAAGTAAAAGTAAAAAGAAAAAAAAAAAAGTAGAATCTTAAACCCCACTCCAGGATTACTGAATCAGAATCTCCCAGTGATTCATATCATTAAATTTAAGAGGCACTGGGGTAGAAAGAGTGTAGATTCCCCCTTGATGTATATGTGCCCGTCAGGATACGCTAGGAAAAACAAGGGGCAGGTATTCTGTGATGCTCTTGAGCTCCCAGGCTCACTGTATTTATTACCTATTTTGTGTATAACTTAAATTGTTTTCCAAATGATTTGTCATCCTGTACACTAACGCCTCCCTAATTCCATCCCATAAATCTGAAGGAAGTGAAATGAAATTTAGTGTCAAAATTAATTCTTGGGGAAAATGCGCGCGCGCGCGCGCACACACACAAAGTGTGTGCATCTGCTGTTGGGTCAGCTTTAAAGAGTGATACTGTGTCTTCTCATAACATTCCAGTGTTCTGAAGCCGCTATTGATGACTATGAATGGTTTTTGAACTGCTTTTTACCCCCTTCCTTGTGCAAAACCAAACCGAATTTCTTCCAAATGAAGGAAGTCACTTGAGAGTCTGAGTGAAAGCTGGAGCGAAATTGTCTCCTCGCATTAATGTGGAACCAATTTCCGAAGAGGTGAAGCTTCTGGGGAGCCAGACAGGACAGCGTCAAACTGGTCTCGCTGGTAACTGTTGGTTGGAAGCTGAGTCAGCGTTAATGGACATTTTAATATCGTTTTCTAAAGACTAGCAATGCTTTTTGTGATTCAGGCTTTCATCTTACACCGAGAACTTAATCTTGACGATCTTGTTGGTGATTTTTTACGTGCTGGCTCTTTTAAGTGCCGTTACCTACTGGGCCAAAGTCTTCGGTCAAAGAGGAGGAAAAAACCGTTTGTTTCCCCCCACCCCCCACCCCGCCCTCCTGCCCTTCTCAAGCCACAAGCTAACTGGTCCTGAGAGCTGTGAACGTGCTCTAGCAACACGGGGAGAACCGAAATTGCGGAGGCCTGAGGCATTTCAAAAGCGAACGCGGTTTTCAAACTGCGCAGTGGAGAGGTTTGCGAAGAGACAGCTGATGGCGCCCTCACCCCGCCGGGCAGCTGCCCACCAGTAAGCGCCTCTCCCTGTCCGTGTTAACTCGCCACACACCCACCCCAGCCCTTCCCCCTCCTCGCCTCTGAGGTTCCTGCGCCCTCCTCTTCATTCCCTCAGCCAGCCTCTCATAGCCTTTCCCGCCCCCTTCCTCCCTCTCCTCGTTCCCTCCCTTTTCTCCCCTCGGCCTCTCGCCCAGCCCACCCCGCTTTCATCCCTTCTTTTTTCCCCCCCGATTCGCGCTCGGCGAAGCAAACACCGCCTTCTCCACCAGAAGCCAGGCGGGAGGCGCAGCAGGCCGACTGCGCGCAGGCGCACTGCGCGGCGGGCGCGCGGTCGGGCTGGGCGTCCGCGCAGGCGCTCGCTGCCCGGGCTTCGCTCGGACGCTGGCGGCCAGGCGTTCTCCGTCTCCCTCAGTCAGCGCTTGCGGCCGCGCGCAGGCGGCGGCACCATGTTTATTCCGTCAGTCAATTTCTGGAACCTGGCGTTTTATGCCCTTATGGTCTTCATGGCGACCCTGGGGCTGTGGGACGTCTTCTTCGGCTTCGAGGAGAACAAGTGCAGTATGAGCTATATGTTTGAGTACCCGGAGTATCAGGTGAGGTTCGGCTGTCTCCTCACCTGGGCGCTCTGAGACCCGGGCCCCTCCGGTGGGTTTCTCCTCCTTGGTTCTCCGCGCCTCTGTGGCACCCTTATCCCAACATCGTCTGTTTTGTCTTTTTTTTTTTTTTTTTTTACCTCCCAGAAGATTCTGCAGACCACCCGCCCTCCTTGCTCACCTCACCTAACCTTTGTGTCCTCTTTTTATTTTTTTTTTTAAGATTTTTATTTTTTAGTAATCTCTACACCCGATATGAGTCTGGAGCTTATTACCCCAACATCAAGAGTCCCATGCTCCTCCCACGAGCCAGCCGGGCACCCCGCCTTTGTGCTGTCTCTTAACAGTGGGGTGTTAGGTAGACGGTTCCTCCGGCATCCTCCCTTCCCCCCTTACCCCCATAGTTGCTTCCCTGTCTCCCGCCCCCTTCGCCGTCCCACATCCCGGGCCAGGTTTTGACGGCTCGGGCCCACCCTGCTTCAGAGACGCCAACTCAGCGCCTCTCCGGAGCTCCACCCAAACCCCGTTTTCCCTGGCGTTCCTGCCTTAACAGGTGCCCTGGACCCGCCTTGGCTATCCCCGCACCGAAATCCTTCCCATCCCGCGCAGTGATTTGCACGTCAGTTTTGGCTTTCTGGAAAGGGCACTGAGCTTCTACAGAGTGTGTTTTGGCTAGATCCCTAGACTGCCTTTGAGACTCCAGGGTTTCACCTCTGTGTGCAAGGCCGACCTGAGGAGTCCTTAAAGGGAGAACTGTGGAGGCTCCGCCCTGCAAAGTTTTGCGGAGCCTCGGGTTCTGTCGGTGACTGCATGCGTGTGCACGCATGCCTGTGTTTATGCTTGTCGCCTCTTAGCAGTTGTACACAAAATCTGTTTCATAGTGTTGTTCTTGTTTTCTCGCTGTCTTTGCCATTTAAGAGAAACCCGGCCCTTCTGTCTCGAGAGCGCGCGCGCCGTCCCCCATCTCTTCCGTTCCAGTTTGAGCATTTTCCATCACAACTGCTTCATCGGTTGAGCTTGGGAGAATCTGGAATTTCATTCAGGACCAGCTGTGGTGACACATTACACAACTGTCCAAAAAAATTTCTCCCGAATGATTCTTTTATTTGTAAACGCATCTCCTAATTATGGAATGCCTATCATAATGGTAACAACCCATCATAGAAAGTATATGGGCTATAATACATTACTGATAAAACGCATTCTTAGAATAGCTTTAAAACCATAGCAGATTTTTTTTTAAGGTGAAGAATGCGGATCGTGATCGCCCCTGTGTACAGGTCATTATGGAGTAGCATATGATTTGATTAATGTTGCTATTATTTAGATTGTAGACCTAGGTAAGGTTTAAATTGTTGAAGAACATCTTTTCCCATGGGCAAAATTCTAGTTTAGATTTCATTTGCTTTGAGATCCTTATCTTGTTTTGCATCAGTGCTTATAAAGGAGTGGAAGAACTTGATATCAGATGCTATTGAAGGAGGCTATTTTAACGTGTTACTGTTGTCTCAGTTTCTAAGCACATATGTTGGTTTTAAGTTTATTATTTTTTATTAATTTTATTAAGTTTATTAGAGGTTTTAAGTTTATTAGAGGCTATACCTAGTTAAATACGTTGGCTTTTAAGGTTTTTTTTTAAACGGAAAATAGAGCCCTTATAATCTAATTTTTCTATGGTTTAATTGAGAAACTCAGTAGATTGAAGTAGGTCACTTTAGTTTTGTACTTCATTGAAGAGTTTGTTTAAAACAAAATTATCTGTAACAATATAGAACTAATTCCCATTTATTTTGAGATTGCCAACAATAATTGAGGCTCTTTTAATATCTACAGTAGTGGAAATCACTTAGTGTTGGGAACAAAGCATATGGACCTCACAGATGCATTTCTTGCCTCATAAAATTAACTAGAAGACAGAAAATTAGCTAATGCAAAGGAGCTGTTTGGCTGTTTTTTGTTGTTGAGTAGTCTAGTTATTTTGATTCAAATTCCCTTTTTGTGGTTTTACTCTTCTGTTGCTGTTAATAATTTGCCAGTACAGTAATAATTACAGTGGCAGGAGTTTCTGATTCACATTTTAGGTAAATATTTATTTTTATGATGTAGAAAGAGGCTGTGTTAATTCACTACGGTATTTATATTTGATTCTTAGATCTTCTGTTGTGCACATCAGGTCATGTTATTTTAGAAATACAGTTTAGAGCCTGTCTATAGAAATGAATCATTTTGAATATGGTAAGATTTCTGGATAACTGAGATCATCTATTAAGAACCAGTGGTTTTTAATGAATAAAAGTATTCTAAATACATATATATGTATTGTTTGCTTTTAGTTCTGTTTTATAATAAGCTTTCTAATTGTTCACAGATTGATACCTGCATATGAAATGACATACTTGTTGCCTTTTCATCTTCTTGAGTCCTTTCTTCTTTTTTATCATTAATTTGCATTAATTTGCACTTTCGTTAGCTCAATTTTAGAAGAAATGGAAGATAGTTGAAACACACACTATTTTATTCTTCATTTTAAAAATAAAAGGCCGGATAGGAATTTGAAGCTATTTGTAAAACTGAAGTTTTGAATTTAAAATTGAGTATTCATTTTCTACCTTTGGTTTTCCTAGATTCACTTATTCAGAGTTAACTGAACATCTCAGAAACCTACCAGGCAAATACACATTATCCCTTAAAGCTTCTTGCTTTATCATGATGGCAAGGTACAGTTTTTATTTGTTAGCAAACAGTTTTAGGCAAATTGTAGAATTCAAGAAGAAACATCTGTGTTGTTTTTCTCCCATACAGTAATTTATTTGGCTGTCTTCAGATAAGAGACCTAACAGTTGCTATGTGAAGAAAATGTTGATATTAGAAAATGCAGATCATAGCATTTTGTTATTGAAGTGTGACATTTGTTTAGCAGATAATTTATTGAATAACTACTCTGTGTTAGGTATATTCTAGATACAGGGTATGGGTAAGTCGGAATTAGAGATGAATCAGACTTTGCCTTTATGTCTTTATAATTTTTATGGCTTTATAATACAGTGGAGGAGACGGGAATGTAATGGATAGTTAAAATGTGCTAAATATTGTAATTTCACTATGAGTGCATATGAGGTTCTTTACAAAAGAAAGCGTCCGAGTTCATCTTCAGTAGTCAAAGTCTGTAGACAAGTTGTAGTGAATTAGACTATTAGACTATAAATACATAGTTCATGAATTGCAGAAACAAGAAAATTGCAGTAATAAAGAATAATATTTGTGAAGGTGGGACGGCACCAGGACACATTGTATAAACTATATATATATATATATATATATATATATATATATAAACTGCTAACATTGGTTGCTTTCTGGGTGCAAACTAGATGGCTAAAGGACTAGTGGTAGAAGAAGGCCCTTTCAACGTATATCCTATTGACTCTTGAATTTTGAAGCATATTAAAAATAAATTTTAAAATATGGCATGTGTAAGTTATAAGAAAGATAAGAGCCAAATATTAGAGGACCTCTGTTGTAGGCCTTTATAAATGCAGTCAGGAAACACAGGTGTATGCTTTAACAGGGTATTTCTTGACATCACTATGAACTATGGATTGTAGCAGGGAGGTTATGACAGGAAGAAAGACCAATGAGTCTGAAAGATTCAATTGTCCCTTGGTGTTTTTATTAAACTGAAGTCCTTAGGGGTAGGATAAGTAAAGGGCTGAGAGCTCTTTGTAAGATCTTTTAAACTGCTTTCATTTTGATCAAATCTCTTTTTTTTTTGTTAAATATGGAGCTCAAATTCGAATTTGCCAGTTTTAATTTACAAGTAAAAGATATATGTCATAGAAAAAAGATATTTGTTTCTTGAATCGGTATTTTTCTAGCACTTGGGACTTACTAGAATTTTTGGCTTTTGAAGGGGTTTGAGGTTAGAGATTATAAAGACCTGTACTAAGGCAGCATCAAGAGAGGATGGACAGCAGGGGCAGTATTGTGGACATATTATTTAAGTATAAAGGTAATTGATTTTGATTAAAGGTCTGTTTTGGGAAGGGGTGCTCATTTAAAATAATACATGCAAAATAATTTAAGTATATATGGAACTCTTGTCACTATAAAAGTTTTCTTTTAAATCCCTTGACCCTCATCTTTTTCTTCATCAACATCCTTTTCATAGGCCTATACCTTTTCTGCCTTCAATTTGGTCAGAATCCTTCTTGTCTCTTCCTGCCACTCCCACTTGAACTGGAAATGCAGTTTTGTCATTTGCCTACAACTACCACTTTTTTGTGGTTCTACCTATTTTTTCCATCTTTATACATTATTCTACTTCATCTGGTATGCATTCATATTTTTTAATATGTAGGCTTTCTCACTACAGAATTGGTTTCATAATAGCATATTATGTAATATATTAAATATATTCTTTTGCTTGTTTTTCAGTCTCCAGAGAATTAAATATGTCTTTTTCAATATATTCATGGTTTCTTACTCTTCTGAGTTAAATTTTCAACTACCTCAAAACTTTGTTTAGCTAATGTACTAAAAAGAATGATCTAACATTCATGTAATGTTATATCAAAAGATGTACTAAATTGGGAGAAGTTTAGATTAACATTTCCTGCTTTCTCACATTTCCTTTTTGCTTAGTGTGTACTTAAAACATGGCATCATTTTCATTTTTGATTATATATTGCGGATAGTCAATATTGGGACTAATTTGAGTTGAAGCCCACATACATATATAAAGTGAATTGCAGGATTGGTATTTCTGAATTTTGAATATTGGAGGAGATAAAATTGCTAATATCTTAAGCAATAAGTGCATAGTCTCTAAAGATGTTTTCAGGTGTTATTAGCACAGATTGCTTGTGGTAATATTTTTAAAAGAATGTTCAGGAATGTGCATGAATGATCAGAATTCTGCTTTGTAGAACAGTGAGGCTTTTCAGTGTCATTACCATTTATAGGCTTTAAAATTCATTCAGTAATTAAATTTTTATCAAGCACATATACAGCACTGCTAGATCATTAAATCTGTTGATGTCTACTTAAAGTCTTCTCAATGTAACTGGCTTCCTTTTTAATGGTTTCTATACTCAAAAAAAGGGCAGAAGAAGGGCAAATACTTTACCATCACTTTTATAGATGCTTACATTTTGGGTATGACATTAAGACCGTAACCTCTCTTTTGTTGAAAAAAAATTTATGTGAATTACTGGCTCATTTGTTATCAAAGTGAATTGCAGAGTAATTTAAGGCTTGCTGACAGGCCATACACCTAGTCCACGAAAACTGAAATAGATGCTAACTCATTGGAATGTTTATGGTGAGAAGAGTGTACATGTCTTGACCAAGAAATGGCTGTAAAGTTCAGATTAATTTGTTAAGCACATTGCAGGTCAAAGCATATTAAGTTGAGAGGTGAGAAAGCTGCATTATAAAACAAGCTTACTTTCTCATATAACATCTGGAATATAGAGTTGGGCCTGAATAAAAGCAGAGACATTACAAAACAGTTTAAAATAGCAAAAAATAATTGATTTGATAATTGAAAGCCTTTATCATTTCTGAGTATAATTGATACTGATACTATATTACATGTTTTTCCAATCATGTTAACATGTAACTTGCTGACATACCTCAGTGTTTTTCTTTAATAAGTGGCTATTTTGAGTAATTTGTATTCATTAGAATTTCAGGTAGTTCCATTTTATGCGTTCCTGAAGACTGCATGTTCAAAACTCACATAATTCAAGACTAATTCTATATATGAATAAGCTAAAAGTAAAATGTGTTTGGGTCAAGTGCAGTTTTATCATTAGTAGTATTTTTATGCTACACTGTTTCAAATGTGTGTAATATAGAAATGGCACAATAGGCTGAATTGTATTAATAAAACTGATTAAAGTAAAATAGCTTTTTTTTCTTTTTGCTGTAGAAAATAGAACTTCCAAGGAAACTGGCAAAACGCTATCCTGCATATGAATTATATCTTTATGGAGAAGGATCCTATGCTGAAGAACACAAAATTCTCCCTTTGACGGGTATTCCAGTTCTCTTTCTTCCTGGTAATGCTGGAAGTTACAAGCAAGGTAAGTCTTGGAAGTAAATTTTGAAAGCTATAAAATTAAATTGAAGAATTTATCAGATAACATACTCTGTGTTAAGTACTGTGCTAGGATATTGGGAGACACAAATATGTGACATTTTGTTTGAGAGAAAAAGATGTGAGTACAAAGAATAGTTGAAGACCACTTAGAAAAGAATAAGAAGGAGAAAAAACAGGATGGAGTGTGTAGGACAAATAGATGAAACAGGGATTCAGGAATCAGCAGAAGAAAGGTTTATGTTGGAAATGGAAGGTACAGAAAACAACCTAAAACACTAATTAGAGAAGTTAATCAGTGTATGTTATGCTAAATGAGAGAAGGGTTTCTTTTTTCCTTTGGAGCTATTTAAATTAGATCCAGAAGTACTGATGGGAACACAAAAAAGTTATGGTAGGGAAGTTATATGTATAGATTCCAAACTGAATATTGGCCTGGAGATAATAGCAGTTATTTCTGGCTTAACAATCAAGTACCTTGGAAGTAATTTCAGTTAAGATGTGCTCTTTTGGTTATTAACTGGCATATTTTTGAATATAATAAGAATAGAATTATTTTAACTTCAAGTGAAATTACTTATATGTCATGTATTTCTCTGACAAATATTTGTGTTTTAGATGTTAGGGATCCCAAACAGACCAAGATAAAAATCTCTCCCCTCATTAAATTTACATTCTTGTTGGAAACACAGACATCAAACAAATATGTCAATAATGTTAGAAGTTAGAAAGAAAAATAAAACAAAATGAGGGATGGAAGATAAATAGGGTCAGTAGGTGGCTAGTTTAGTTGAAATGAGCAGGAAAGGCCAGTATGAGGAGGTGACATATGAGCAGAGGCTTGCATGTAGCAAGAGACTGAGGTATGTGACTATTTGGGAAAAGACCCTGAGGCAGGAACATGCTTGGTACATTCGAGGCCACTGAACCTAGAGACAATGACAAGAAATGAGGATGGAAAAGTAGCCACAGGCTGTATCCTATAAGCTGTGGAAAAGACTTTTTTGATCTAAGTGTAATGGGAAATTTTGATCTAAGTGTAAAGGGGAAACTTTTAGAGGGCTTTGGGCAGGAAATGATGTATTCTGATCATTTTGTTGTTAATTATTTGAAATATAACACACATATAGAGAAATGTGTAGAATATAATCAGTTAAAAGTTATTATAAAGTAAATACCCATAGAACCAAAACCTAAGTCAGGAAGGAGAAGATTGCCAATACTGTGGAAGTCCCCTCTATGTGCCTTCCTGATAAAACTTTCTCCTCTCTTTCTAGATGTAACCACAGTCCTAACTAAGCTAGTAATTTTCTTGACTTTATTGTTTTAGTATCTGAATATGCATCTCTAATACAATCCACTTATTTGGGGTTATTATTAAATATTGTCATAAACATAATCATTCAGTGTGTATTCTTTTGTGTCTGGCTTCTTCCGCTCAGTATTTTAAAAAGACACTCAAGTTGTTGTATGAGCTGCAATTCATTCATTTTTCTCACTCTGTATTGTTTTATTGAATGACTATACTATAGTTTAAATATCCTGTCTTTGAACACTTGTGTTGTTTACATTTATTGGCACTTATAAGTAATGAACATTTTTCTTACTTTGGATCACATAAACCCATGTTTCTTTCTGTAAGATGTATACCATAATGTAATTCTGTGTCACAGATTATATGTATCCTTTTATTTTTACTAGTTGTGCTAACATACTCCCAGAAAAAAACACATTATACTTCCCTTTGCTCCACATCATTGACAACATTGGAATTGTCAGATTTTTAAATTTTAAACCATCCGGTAGGTGTGTTTTATTTTTAAAAGATGATTACTCTGGCTTTGCTGTGTAGAGAATATGCTATAAAGGGGTGAGAGTGGAAGAAGGAAAGATAACAAGCATCATTAATCATGAGGGAAATGCAAATCAAAACCACAATGGTAGATAACATTTCATACCCACTAGGGTAGCTATAATCTAAATGATAGATAATACCAAATGTTGAGGATGTGAAGAAATTGAAACCCTCATATGTTGCTAGTGGGGCTGTAAAATGGTAGAGCCACTTTGGAAAAACAATTTGGTGGTTCCTTGGAATACAAAACATAGAGTTTTATGCCTAGCAATTTCGTGATAGGTATTTACTGAAGAAAAATGAAAACATACATTCACACAAATTTGTTTACAAATTTTCATAGCAATGCAATTTGGAATAGCTAAAATGTAGAAACAGCCCAAATATCCATCAGCTAATGAATGGATGGATGAATAAAATATATCCATATAATGGAATATTATTGAGCAATAAAAATGAAAAAAAATTACAGGCCAATAACCTTGATGAGCATAGATGCAGAAATCTTTAGCAGAGTATTAGCAAATCAAATCCAACAATACATAATCAAGTGAGATTTATTCCAGAGATGCAAGAAAGGTTCAGCATCCACAAATCAGTCAACATATACAGTTCCATTAATGAAAGGTAAAAATAATATGATCATCATAATATGATGCAGCAAAAGCATTTCACAAAATTCGGTATTCGTTTATGATAAAAACTCAACAAAGTAGGTATAGAGGGAATGTACCTCAAAGTAATAAAGATCATATATGACTGTCATATGGCTAACAACATACTCAGTGGTGAAAAGCTGAAAGCTTTTCCTCTAATTTCAGGAACAAGACAAGGATACCCACTTTCGCTACTTTTATTCAACATAGTGTGAGAAGTCCTAGCCACAGAAATAAGGCAAGAAAAATAAAAGCCGTCCATATTGGAAAGAAAGAAGTAAAATTGTTACTATTTGCAGGTGACATATATAGAAAACCCTGAAGACTCCATTAAAAGTTAGAATTAAGAAATGAATTTAGTAAAATGCAAGATACAAAATATACAGAAATCTGGGGCGCCTGGGTGGCTTAGTCGGTTAAGTGGCCAACTTTGGCTTGGATCATAATCTTGTGGTTTGTGAGTTCGAGTCCCGCGTTGGGCTCTGTGTTGATGGCTCAGATTCTGGATCCTGTTTCGGATTCTGTGTCTCCCTCTCTCTGTTTCCCCCCAACTCATGCTATGTCTCTGTCTCTCAAAAATAAGCATTTAAAAAAAAATCAATATACAGAAATCTGTGACGTTTTTGTATACTAATAATGAAATAACAGGAGAAATTAAGGAAACAATCCCATTTACAATGACATTGAACAGAATAAAATACCTAAGAATAAATTTAACAAAGGGACTAAGGACCGAAAGATGTGTACACTGAACTCTACTCTAAACTTTAAGACAGATGAAAGAAATTGAAAACACACAAATAAAGGGAAGGATATTCTATGCTTATGGATTGGAAGCATTAATATTGTTAAAATGTCCATACTACCTAAGTAATCTATAGATTGTGTGCAATACCTATCAAAACTCCAGTGACATACTTCATAGAACTAGAACAAGTAATTCTAAAATTTGTATGGAACTACAGAAGATCCCGAATAGCCAAAGCAATTTTGAGAAAGAAAAAGCCTGAAAATATTGCTCTCCCTGATTGTAAACTGTACTACAGAGCTGTAATAATCAAAACAGTAGTTATTGGTTAAAACAACAACAGCAACAACAACAAAAAAAACCCAGACCCACAGATCACTGTAACAGCATTGAGAGCACAGAAATAAACCCACATATATCTGGACAATTTATCTGTGATAAAAGAGCGAATAACACACAGTAGAAACAGGACATCTCTTCAATAAATGGTGTTGAGAAAACTGGACAGCCATAAGAATGAAACTAGGCCACTCTCTTCCACCATACACAAAAATTAACACAGTGTGGACTAAAGACTTGCATGTAAGATGTGAAACCTTAAAATTCCTAGAATAAAACTGAGGCAATAAGCTCATTGACATCAGTCTAAGCACCATCTTTGTGTATCTCACTCCAAAAACAAGAGAAACAAAAGGAAAAACAAATAAATGGGACTACACCAAACTACAAAGCTTCTGTACAACAAAGGAAACCATTAAAATGAAAAGACAACCTACTCAATGGGAGAAGGTATTTGTAGACCATATATACAATAGGGGGGTAATATCCAAAATAAAGAACTTATTAACTAAACAACATAACAGATAAACAGTTAAATAACAACAGATAAATGGACAGAGGATCTAAGGGGTGCCTGGGTGGCTCTCAGTTCATGGCATTGAGCCCCATGTTGGGCTGTGTACTGACAGCAAGGAGTCTGCTTGAGATTCTCTCTCCCTCTCTCTTTGCCCCTTCCCTGCTTGTTCTCTCTCTCCCTGCTCCCAAGAAATTTAAGCAAAAAATAGGCAGGAGATCTGAGTAGACATTTCTCCAAAGAAGACATACAGGTGGCTAACTGGTACATGAAAAGTTAACCAAATTCCCCCACTCCTGTCAGAATGGCTATCAAAAAATAAATAAATAAAACACAAAATCCAAGACATAACAGGAATGAAATCTTACCATTTGTAATAAAATGGATGAACTTGAGGGTATTATGCTAAGTGAGTGAGTCAGACAGAAAAAGAGAGATACCATATGATTTCACTCAGGTGGAACCAAAAAAATGAATAAACAAAATAAATTCATAGATACAGACAACAGACTAGTGGTTACCAGAGGGGAAGGGGTTTGGGAGTGAGTAAAATGAATGAAGGGAGCCGGCTGTATGTTGACAAATAGTAAATAGGTTTGTAGTGATGATCGCTTTGTAATGTATCCAGATGTTGAATTATAAAACTGTACACCTGAAGTTTGTGTAATAAAAAAGGAATGAATTAACTGATCACATGAATTACATGATACTCTGTGGATAAACCATGAAGACATTATAAGTGAAAGAAGGCAGTCATAAAAAAACACATATGCGATCCCATTTATAGGAATGTCCAGAATAAGCAAATCCATTGAGACAGAAAATAAATTTGTAGTTTCCAGAAATGGAAGGAGAAGAGGAACGAGAAGAGACTACTAATGAGTATAGAGTTTTCTTTTTGGGGTAATTAAAAATGTCTAAATTTAGATTAGAGAAATGATTTTAGAACTCTGTGAATTTACTAAAAGTCATTGAATTATACACTTTACATAATGAGTTGTAAGTATGTGATTATGTATGTTAAAGAAATGGAATGGGACATAGGTATTTTGTTTGCTAAACCATACACTGCAATTTTTAATGCCAGTTAAAGCAGTCGATTCACAAATTCTGTGAAAAGAGTTTACAGAGCAAAACCTAAAACAGTGACGGAAGCAGGTAGCCCAGTGAGGAAACTATTAGAAGTAGCGAAGGCAAGAGATTATGGTGCTTATATTAGAAAGACAGTAATGGAAATGGTGAAAACTGTTGAGTGGGAATATGTTTGGAAAGTCGAGCATGATAGGATTTACTAATGGATTGGATGTCATGTGTAAGAAAAAGAGAAATGAAGCATAGATAACCAAGTGATGACCATATATTTCTGGAATTTTCTCATTCCTAAAGTCCTCAAGCATGACTTACTGGTATAGATAGCAAACATTTCTTACTCTTCAAAGGAGTCTTCCCCTCCCTTTTAGCTGTTGTCCCTGTTGAAGTGGTAGCAGGTAAAGAATGAATGACCTGTTTACTTTTTATTTATTTAATTTAAATTAAGAAAAACATTTAGGGCATTAGACATACAGGGCACAAACAATGGTTTGTTCTTCTAAATTGATTCTGTTGAAGGATGTCACCCTGAAGTAGGTTGTTTATACTTGGAGTGTGGGATAAAGTTATTTGTTAAGAGACTTTGAAACAACTTTTAAAAATTTTGTTTGGGGCACCTGGGTGGCTCAGTCAGCTAAGCATCAGCTAAGCATCCGACTTTGGCTCAGGTCATGATCTCATGGTTCATGGGTTCAAGCCCCGTGTCAGGCTCTGTGCTGACAGCTCAGAGCCTGGAGCCTGCTTCAGATTCTGTGTCTCCCTCTCTTTCTGCTCCTCTCCCATCCACACTATCTTCTGTCTCTCTCAAAAATAAATAAAACATTAAAAAAATTTAAAATTTTGTTTAATGTGCACATTGTATTTTCCTCTGCAGTTCGTTCTGTTGGCTCTATTGCACTTAGAAAAGCAGAAGACATTGACTTCAAATACCACTTTGACTTCTTTAGTGTGAATTTCAATGAAGAACTGGTGGCACTATATGGTGGAAGTCTTCAGAAACAGACCAAGTTTGTACATGAATGCATTAAAACAATTCTCAAACTCTATAAGGTAAGAGATAAGCATGCAGATCAATAGTGATGACCTATTAACATCTTTTTAAAAGATATTCCACATATTTTAAGTCATGTATTTGTTTATATGGAAGTTAAAGATGGCACAAAGGTTTGTTTTTTTGGTGGGAGTCTTATTTTGAGCTCAGTGGTTTTTGAAATTTAAATTGAATTTATAAGAAACCTCTCTTGTGAATTTAGGGGAAAATTTTTTTTAACTTTATAAATCCGAAGTGTATTGAGTTTCCTAAAGATCATTAGTATGGATTTCTGCTTCTAGTTATGAATAACTGGTACTAGGGTAGACCACTTCCATATGTAAGCAACTATAAGGCTAGCCAGAATATTGAAGTGTATGTTTTTAAGTGTTGGCCAACCAAGTAGAAAAGGACCATGATCCCTGAAAGAAGGAAAAAGGTGTAAGGTTAACTTTATGATTGCCCTGATTTTCTGCCGGAAAACATTTCCCAGTACATGGGATAAGTGGGTGGAGATCAGGCAGAGCACATTTATATAATTGAGCTGAAAAAGGCAGAGATTGGAATTTGGGGCTACTGGAGTGGTTAGATTTGTGGGCATGGTATTAGAAAGAAGAGAATCAGGCAGAGATAGAAGCTCTGGAAATTTGCATTTTTCAACTTTGACTGCAGTGTTGAATGTGCACAGGGCAAGAAGCTACAGGGTAATGGCATACCAAGGAGGAAGTGATGGGATGTATCTACCTCAAGTGCAAAGAATAAGGAGCAATGTATATCTTTAGAGAAATTTGAAAGGGTGGTAAAACACTCTAAAAATCATTCTGTGCCAACACTTCTAAACAATGTCAGGGATAAAATACTACTGCCTACTGAAAGGAGGAGGCTACTGCTTTTCTATGATATGCCACAGTGAAACCCCTGACCCCCCAAAAAAATTTACTGGGGGAATTATCACTTGAATTGAAATTCCAGATGACACATGGTGCTAGAAAACAGGAGTTCCAATCAGCTAGAGCATAAAGACCTATTTGAACACTCTGGGGATTCAGCTGAGATCCCAGAAAGGATCATATCTAGGTATAGGACTATTCTAGCTCTAAAGTAAGAGCTATTCTAGAATCTACCTTAATGCTTAAATATAAGCCTCAAAAAACTCAAGGGTAAGAAGTTAAGTAAGGTAAGTATGTATAACAAGAGAACAGATGAGGAATCTCAACAAAGACATGGAAATTATTAAAAAAGAACAAAAAGAGAAATACAGAACTGAAAAAATACATATCAGAAATGAAAATTCAGTGCATAAGCTTTAAGCCTGTTGAATCTACAGAATCTACAGAATAAGAGATCATTTAATTTGAAGATATGATAATAGAAACAATCCCAAAATGAAGTGCCGGACAAAAGAATGAAAAGGAAAGAGCCTCAGGAACCTATGGGACAATACTAAACAGTCTAACATTGATATAATTGGAACTCTAGAAGAAGAGAAAGGAATTGGAGAGGAAAAAATATTTAAAGAACTAATGGTCCCCAGTGGGTCAATTTTAATTCAGAATTTTGAACCCACAGGTCCAAGAAGGTCAGTGAATGTCAAGCAGGAGAAACAAAAACCACACTTATGTATATCATTGTCAAATTGTTGAAAACCGAAGTAAAGAGAAAAATCTTAAAAGCAGCCAAATGAAAAAGAACCTTTACCTAACTTACAGGGTAAACAATAAAAATTACCACTGCTTTTACATCAGAAATAACAAAAGCCAAAAACAACAGGATAACATTTTAAAGATCTTGGAAATGAGGTTAAGAAGGGTACTCTCAACCTAAAATTGCATACCCAACAAAAATATCCTTCAAAAGTGAGGGCAAAGTAAAGATATTTTCAGTTACAGAAACTGGCAGTTTGTCATTGGTAGACAAAGGGAAATTAAAGATTAGCATTGGATGAATAGTAAAATAATAGTTGCTGCAGACAAGATGAATGCTAATTAGTGGATGAAAGTTTGAGGAGAAAAAGGATATTTACATGATTTAAAAGTATCTTTTTCTGAAATATTAACTACAAAGGAAAGAATAACTTTACAGTGAAGAAACCTGGCAGAAATTATTTTAACCAAAATTAATATCACCAGTAATAAGACATATTGATATAAACCTCCTTGACGTGATGCATTGAGAAGGATTCAGTATAATTTCTGTGGCATTATTGTCAATCTCCTGTTAATACTGAGAAAACATCAGAAAAACCCAAATTGAGAGTCACACTACAAAATACCAGTACTCTATCAAGAACATAAAAAACAAACACTGAAGAACTGTCACAGGTTAGAGGAAACTAAGGAGAAATAATGATAAATGCGAGGTAGGATGCTGGATGGAATCCTGAAATAGAAAAAAGTACATTTGTGAGAAAATGGATGAAATTTATATTAGGTCTGCAGCTTAGTCAATACTGTTGAACCAGTGTTAAAATGTTAATTTTTTAAACTTTATTTATTGTGAGGGAGAGAAAGCATGCACAGCAGGGAAGGGGCAGAGAAAAGAGAGACAATCTCAAGCAGCTCCACACCATCAGTGCAGAGCCTGATGAACTGTGAGATCAAGACCTCAGCTGAAATCAAGAGTCAGATGCTTACCTGACTGAGCCACCAGGCACCCTACCAACGTTAATTTCTTTGTTTTGATACTGTCATATAGTCAGGTAAATGTTACTAGTAAGTGAGGTTGGATGAGAGGTATAGGAGAAAACTGTGCTATTTTTGCAACTTTAATTCGTTCAAAATAAAAAGATTAACAATTTGTTTACAGAAAAAACCCCCAGAGTATGAGGTTTATAAGTTACTTAGAAGGAAAATATATGATAATGGTGAAAAGGATGGGGAAAGGAATGTATAGAATTATTCCTCTGCATTAAGTATGTGATATAATTAATATTAATTCAGAGTAGACTGATAAGGTTGCATATTGTAATTTCTAAAATACCAGCAACAAAAAGGAGATACAGCAAAAGAGTAAATGGAGAAGAAATAGAAGGAAAGAAGAAAGAAACAAGCTGGGACAAATAGGAAACAAATGGCAAAAATGATGGAGTTAAACCCAACTCTATTAATAATTACATAAGTATAGATGGATTAAACACTCCAGTTAAAAGGAAAACATTGTCAGACTGCATAAGAAAGGCAAGAACGACCCAATTGTATGCTAACGTAGCTACTAGAAAGTAAAAGCCACTTTAAATCTAAAGATCCTGATAAATTACTTTAAAAAGAATGGGAAAAATATGCATACACACAGACCTTGAGAAAGCTGGCATGGCTATCTTAATATCAATTAAATAGATTTTCATTTACATGATAAGTATTTCTCCATCCCCTCACTTAAAATCTGCAGATGTCTTTAGGTCTAAAATGAGTCTCTTGTTAAGCAGCATATAGATGGGTCTTAGGATTTTATCCATTCTGACACCCTATGTATTTTGATTGAAATGTTCAGTCCACTTACATTCAGAGTAATTATTGTATATTTATTTATTTAAGTGCCATTTTATTACTTGTTGCTTCTGGAGGTTTTCTCTGTTGCTTCTTTAGTCTTTGTCACCTTTGGCCTTTCCTTCCCACTCAGAGTCTCCTTTACTATTTCTTGCAAGGTTGGCTTAGTGGTCATGAACTGCTTTAGTTTTTATTTGTCTGGGCAATTCTCTGTCTCTCCTTCTGTTGTGAATGATAGCCCTGCTGGATAGAGTATTCTTGGCTACAGATTTTTCCTATTCAGCACATTGAATAAATTATACCACTCCCGTCTGGCCTGCCAAGTTTCTGTGGAGAGATGGACAGCTAGCTTTATGGGTTTTCCCTTGTAAAGTTAGGGACTTCTTTTGTCTTGCTGCTTTTAGGATTTTGTCTTTATCACTGTTTTGCAAATTTAACTACAGTGTCTTGCTGTTGGCCTGCTTTTGTTGATTTTGATAGGAGGTCCCTGTGCCTCTTGGATTTGGATGTGTGTTTCCTTCCCCAGATTAGGGAAGTTTTCAGCTATTATTTCCTCAAACACACCTCACTTTTCTCTCTCTCTCTTTCTTCTGGGATTCCTGTGATACAAATGTTACTACATTTATTGGAGTCCTGGAGTTCCATAAGTCTATTCTTGTGACCCATAATTCTTTCTAACTTTTGTTCAGCTTAATTTTTTCCATTATTCTATCTTCCATAAAACTTATTCATTCTTCTGTTTCTTCTATTCTTGTGGATTAGTATTATCCAGTCTGTTTCAAATCTCAGTTACTGGATTTTTCATTTCTGACTGATTGGTTTTTTTAATTCTTTTATTTCAGCAGCCACGGTCACTCTGATGTTTTCTATGCTTTTCTCAAGCCCAGCAGATATCCCTATGATCATTACTTTAAGTTCTCCGTTAGGCATACTACTTATATGTGTTTTGATTAGATTTCTGGCCCTGCGACCTTTTCTTGTTCTTTCCTTTGGGATGATTCCCTATATCTTGGCATTTTAACTCTTTGTCGTCTTCTCTGTTAGAAAAGCCTGTTGTCTTTCCTGCTCCCAAGAGTAATAGCTTTATGAAGAGGTCATATAGTGCCCAGGGCCTGATGCTTCAGGGAGTGTCTCTGATGTGTGCTGCCTGCATACTGCTGCTGTGTTTTGGCTACTCTATTCTTCAGGCCAGTGGTCTACAGAGGCTCTCCTTGCTTACAGTGGGCAGTGTTTGGACCTTGGCTAGAGTGTGGTAAGTTTTAACTAGGTGTGCTCTGGTCTATTTATTGAATCAGACCTGATATTACTTCCACGAATACCGAAGCTTTGCAGAACTCTCTGGTTGATTGACCTGGTATGTGTGGGGGTATCTGCTGATCTTTGGGAGAAGGGATCCACTCTGCTGGTACTGGGCAGATGGGCAGGTGTTGATGTAAGCAGGTTAGGCAGCCAGTGTAGGTGCTGTGCTGTTTACTGCAGGTGGTTCTGCCCTTATGCTGAGTTGGGGCAGGGAGAGGAAAATGGTACCAGCCAGC